CTCACTTGCTTTAATTCACAAAATGTGCCCTTGAGAAATAATATCTAGATGCTGTTCATGTTCATGCTCCCTGTTCCAGTTTAACTTGTCATTCACACAGGTACCTTAAACGATAGTCTCAGAGCAGTTTAACCAGGAAGTTCTGTTTAGTGGCTATGTAGAGAAATTATCAACTAGCTGTTTTCATGCACAAAATCTCCTTTATAACCTGAGAGTGAAGTACCATACTTTTCTAGCATTGTATAAGATGAATTATGAAGCAAGATATACAAAGGCAAGGGTGATTCTTTAAAAAAGAAAAGCTGTTAATCACAAAAGGGTGTTCATGGAAGGAATATGGCTGAGATACTCCTAAGCTTAATTTCTTTTTTCTTTTATTTTTGTTCCTTTGTTTGTTTTTGAGAAGCCTTACCCAGCAGTGGATCAAAACAGATGCTGAGACTCACAGGAAAACATTGGGCAAAGCATAGGAAGTCTTGTGGAAAAGTAGGGGGAAGGACAGAGGACCTGAAGGTGACAAGAGCTCTCCAAGAAGACCAAGAGAGCCAACTAACCTGGGCCCAGAAGGGCTTTCAGAGATTGAAGTGAGAGGTTAAAAAACTTAAGAGTTAATTCCTGCCACTGGGGCGAAATCACAGTCCTTTCAGATCAGAGGTCCAGCAGCAGTCCTCCCCCCCACCCCCCACCCCCCACCCACGTCCAGATAAACCTTAGAGTGTGACTTGCCCCGAAGAAAGCCCATGAAATGTGTTAACACCCCCTCCCCCTTGCTACAGGGGGGTGGGGGGTCAGGTGTCCCACAGGTAGCCAGACCTAACTGCAGTTTTGGCGCCTAAAAACAAACCAATCATTTTGAAGGTCAGCTCCCCTAGAGACCCTTTCACTCAATCCTGTAACGCCACACTTCCCTGCTTGCGTTTTGAGCCCTTAAAAACCCTATTCCCCCAGAGTTGGGGGTTGCTTGCCCCTTTGTTCTTGTAAAGGTCAGCCACCCAGCTCGAGTTTGTAACAAAGGACCCTCCTGTGTTTTACATCGGACTCAAAGCCTGTTGGTCATTTGGGGACTCGCGATCTGCGTATTTCAGAAGCACCCCACCAAGGACCATGCATGGACTGGACCTAGGCTCTCTATACAGATGTACCCATGAGCAGCTCAGGCTTCATGTGGGTGCCCTAGTAAGAAGAGGGAGGTATGTCTCTGATATGGACTCTGTTGCCTACTTTTTGATCACTTTTCTCTGGCAGGACTGCCTTTCCAGGACAAAGGGGAAGAGGATGTGCTCAGTCCTGATGTGACTTGATGAGTTGGGGTAGGTAGGTAGGAGGTCTCCCCTTTTATGAAGACTAGGGGAGACTGGATGGAGGAAGGAGAAGGGAGGGTGAGACATGAAAAGAGGGAGGAGGCTATGATCTCAGGATGTAAAATGAGTAAATTAATTAATTAAAAAATAAGCTTAATGTTTTTCTTAACATCTGTGATGGCTATTCTTGGTTGTCAACTTGACTACATTTCAGATTAACTAAAAGCCGAGCAGCTGGGTACACTCATAAGGGATATTTAAAAAAAAAAAATTTTCCAGTTCCCACCACTTACGAGCAAATTTCATGATTTCCTTGTTTCTTATTGCTGAGTAATATTCCATTGTGTAGATGTACCACAATTTCTGTATCCATTCCTCAGTTGAGGGGCATCTGGGTTGTTTCCAGCTTCTGGCTATTATGAATAAAGCTGCTACAAACATGCTTGAGCAAATGTCCTTATTGTGTACTTGAGCATTTTTTGGATATATACCTAGGAGTGGTATGGCTGGATATTGAGGAAGCGCTATTCCTAATTGTCTGAGAATGTGCCAGATTGATTTCCAGAATGATTGTACCAGTTTACATTCCCACCAGCAGTGGAGGAGGGTTCCCCTTTCTCCACAACCTCTCCAGCATGTGTAGCCCATGGCAGTTCAGTGTCCAAGTGGGTTCCATAGTAATGGGAACAGGGACTGATTGGCCTGCTCTTTGATCACCTCCCCCTGAGGGGGAAGCAGCCTTACCAGGCCACAGAGGAAGACAATGAAGCCACTCCTGATGAGACCTGATAGACTAGGATCAGAAGGAAGGAGAGGAGGACCTCCCCTATAGTGGACTTGGAGAGGGGCATGTGTGAGAAGGGGGAGGGAAGGTGGAATTAGGAGGGGAGGAGGGAAGGAGCAACAGGGGGGATACAAAGTGAATAAAGTGTAACTAATAAAAATTAAAAAAATTAAATCATTTAAAGTGGGAAAACCTACATTTAATCTGGATCTTTTGAGGTGGGAAGATCCACCTTTAATCTGGGCCATACTTTCTGCTAGCAGCCTATAGAAAGGACACAGAGATTCTTCTGGCATAGGTCATTCCTTCACTGGCATTAAAGCCTACCTCTTCAGGACTCTGGAATATACTGAAGACCAGCTGAAACATCCAGCCTTGTGTACTGAACAACTACTGGTTTCTTGGACCTTGCATTGGTGGACAACCATTGTTGGACTAGCTGGACCAGAGCCTGTAAGCCACCCTAATAAGATCTCAAATGCATCCCAGAGACTTGCTACAGATAGGAATGAACATGCTACAGGCCAGTCCGCTGTAGAATTGGTACAGGTCCCTCAGTGTGCACACAGAAGAACAAAGATTAGCTTTCCTGAGCAAGCTCTACTTATGTTTAGTCAGAGCTTGAAGATCTTTTCTTAAAAGTTTTGTAGTATAATTGTTTAATAAACTGTATTCAATTAACTCTTTGAATATACTCATTCTTGAAGCCACCATTACCTGTGATGTAATAAACAAGTTGGTCACCCTCCAGTTTCCCTTGTATCCTTTTGTGGTCATGTCTCCTACCTCTTGTTCACTCCTCCCTTTTCCACAGGTTTCCATTCTGTCATTGTAGAATAGTTTGAGGTTTCACTTAAAAGTTTTTGCGTGTGTGTGTGTGTGTGTGTGTGTGTGTGTGTATTTTAATGTGGTTTGCCTGCAAGTATGTCTGTGCCGCATGCCTTGAAGGCCAGAAGAAGTGCCAAATCCTCTGGGACTGGAGCTGCAGAGCTGCCATGTTGGTGCTGGGAATGAAAACCAGGTCCTCTGAAAGTGTAGCCAGTGCTCTTAACTCCTGAGCCATCTCTCCGCCCTCTAGTTTGTATTTTCTAAAATTCCACATGAACAGGACCACACAGCTTCAGAGTGGCTGTCCTAAGTGTGCAGAAGTTCATTGAGCTGTTTAGAGTGTGGGTCTGATCAATTCTGTGGCATAATGCTTTTTATTGGGAAGTTCTTGACAATAAAGTTTTAATTAAAAAGTAGCTCACACATTTTGCTAAGCTGAATTTTCATTCAAATAAAAAATCCTTTCTCTTTTTAAAAAAAATTTTTCATATAATTTCCAATTACTTAGGAATTTTCCAAAGATTTTTTTTTTTTTTTTTTGTCAGTTTACATGTACTGACAGCCATAAACGTTTGGAAACCAAATGGGCTCTAGTTTGAATATGGTCTATGGTGGCAAATATCTCAAACACACTTGAAAAGAAGATATATTCTGTTGTCAGGTGGCATGTCCTAATGAATGTCCATTAAGGTGAGTTTATGTTATTCTTCAAATATTCTGTACTTTATAAAATCTCGTTTGCATGTCCTGTTGTTATATTCTGAGATGATGTTGAAGTTACTTAGTGCAATTAATATGCTTCTTTCTCTCTACAGCTACACTTTTTATACTTTTAAGCTTGATCATACAGTGCATAAACATTTAGATTTTGATCTTTGATGACTATACCCTTTCACCTTTATCATTGCAAAAATGATCATTTTATCACTGGTAATATTCTTTGTTCCTAAATTTGCCATTTAGCACAGGGATAAGCACTTCAGATTTTTTAAATTAATTTTAACACACCATATCTTTTCCAATTCTTTCACTTTTATCATTTTTTTTCTGTATATGACTAGTGCTTTCTGGGTGAACATACATAGTTGGGTCTGGCCTTAATTTTGTAATATTACTTTAGATTTGAAATAACTGGACCATTTACAATGAATATGTTCCTCAGTATAATTATATTTAAATATTTTTCTACCTATTACATATTCCTATTTTTACACTGTTTTTAAGATCAATTTAGTATTTTATGGCTCTAACTTAGAAATTTAAGTTATTTCTTTTTACTTTAGGATTTGTACTATGCATTTTAAAGTATAAATTAAAATATATCACATAACACGTTGTAGCTTAAAACTTAACACTTCTATTTGTTCTCTTTACAACCTTGATTTTCTTTTCTTTTATTCATAAACACTATATTATATTGTTTAAAATATCTTTTAAAAATATTTATTGAAGTATTCTGAAGCCTTTTATTTTCTAGCTTAGGTTAAGTGTCGTTAATAAAAAGTGAAAGACATAAGGAATACTATTGAAATTATATTCCTCTATCAACATAAATGATATATTCTATTTTAAAAATTTTGATGCTATGGAGTGTCACACATGCATAAGGTTAAGTACTGTATTTTAGAAAATGTTTTTCTTGATAAATAATATGTATACATGTTGCCATACACATGACTATTTAACCTCAAGTATTTACGTCCTTAGTGGTCAAGACATTCTTGTTCTGACCTACTGGCTGTCATGTGCTCTGAATTTATAAATGGGATTCTCTATATGATACAAAGTAAATCCTTCATGTCAAATAAAATACCAAAACAGAAAGAAAACAGTAAAGTGATTTTTTTTTTTTCCCCATCATGACAAGCCTAAGTACTGATGCTAAGAACACATGAGATTTTTCACATTGTTTTTCTGGAGTGATCTATTTATTAAAAACCTTTATTTTGAGGAATATCTGTAGGGGCCTCAAGGGTCCTGTAGAGAGGGGTTTATAGATAAAAATAAACCTATAATAGTGACCTCACATTAAAAGACAGAACTCATTCTATCAAAAGCTCTCACACCTTGGGAATTTGTGGTTGAAATTACTCTTCGAAATTTGAGACATATCTTGCTCCAATTAATAATGTCATGCTACTCACTATAAAAATACCCAAGGGCAGACAAGAGAAGACAGCATTATCTTTGTTTTCAGGATCGTTAGGTGTAACCCAACCCATTGACTTCAGCACTGCTCTCTTCCATGTTGCGTAACGAATTTCACTCTCCGAGGCTAGGATTTGTGGTTCATACCGTTCCATCAAAATCGTAGGCATGTCGTTGGGTTCTAGACTCCAAATCTCTACCCCTTCCGCAGCTCCAGCTGCCATGGCAGCTCCCAGGGCAGTTGTTTCGGACATAATAGACTTAATTACCGGAATGTGCAGAATGTCTGCCTGTAGTTGCATAAGAATTTTGTTGCTTGTCATTCCTCCGTCTACCTGCAAATGACTGAGTGGAATTCCGCAGTCGCGATTCATGGCATCCAGAATCTCTCGGGTTTGGAAACAAACAGCTTCCAGGGCAGCAAAGGCAATATGACATCTGTTGGTGAACTGAGTGAGACCGCAGATTATCCCTCTCGCCGTGGGTTCCCAGTAAGGTGCATATAGCCCTGAAAAGGCTGGGACGAAGTAGCAGCCGTAGGAAGTGCCGGCCTCTGACGCAAGCGTTTCGATTTCTTCCGTGGTCGCGATGATTTCAAAATTGTCTCTTAGCCAGCGGATAACAGCACCAGCTATCGCAACAGAACCTTCCAATGCATAATATACTGGCTTCTCTTTGCCTAGTTTGTAAGCCACGGTGGTCAGAAGGCCATGTTCAGAAAATACACTTTTCTTGCCTGTGTTACATAGTAAGAAGCATCCTGTTCCGTAGGTGTTTTTGGCTTGACCTTCCTCGAAGCACATTTGTCCCACTAAGGCAGCAGACTGGTCCCCCAAACATCCAGATATTGGCACGCCTTCCAGGGCCCCTGTTGTTATCAGGCCATAGATCTCTGAAGAACTACATACGTTTGGGAGAATGGCCATGGGAATTTCAAAAAAGTCACAGAGTTCTTTGTCCCATTCCAAAGAATGGATGTTGAAAAGCATTGTTCTGCTGGCGTTTGTTACATCGGTGCAATGGACGCCTCCGTTGACTCCTCCTGTCATACTCCAGATGAGCCACGAGTCAATGGTTCCAAACAGGGCTCTGCCTTCCTCAACAGCCTTTTGAATGGGTCTTAGGTTGTCCAGCATCCACCGCAGTTTCACCGCACTGAAGTAAGTGCTAAGCGGAAGGCCTGTCTTAGACTTGACGAAGTTGCTATTTCCTGGGATTTTCTTATTGAGAGTCTCTACAGTGCTCTGGGTCCTGAGATCAAGCCACACCACAGCATTGTAGAGAGGCTCTCCCGTGAACTTGTCCCAGACAACAGTGGTTTCCCGCTGGTTGCTCACGCCGATAGCTTTAATGCTGGAAACATCAATGTTCTCACCAGCAATTTTCTCACAAGTTTTTGCTATGCATTCATAGACAGACCGAAGGATTTCCTTGGGGTCTTGCTCCACCCATCCTTCTTTTGGATACTGTAGCTTCAATTCCACTTGATGATGGCCAATTAGTTCTGCTGTTTTGGAATCGAAAAGCAGAAAGCGAGTGGAGTTGGTGCCCTGGACCACCGCTCCCACCAGCGGCCCGACAGCTGTTTCCTCCGAGGCTGCCATGAAACTGGTCAGTGGACTAGGCAGCTCAGGGACCGTTTCCCTGGTGATGCCAGTTAGGAGGAGGCACAACAGCCAGCCAGGAACGCCGGAGTGCGCAGGCGCAGCTGCCAGCCTAACAGTTTCCTGTTCACCCCTCACCCACGCCCCGCCCCTCACCTCTCCGTTCCATTTCCAGGGATTTATGGGAAAATATTCAATATGTGCTTCACTCTTGGTGTGTGGATCTATATTTCTGTTTTCTCTTCCTTTCTATCTGTGAGATATCCTTAACATTTTTAATTAAGCATTTCTTTTGTGGGACATGAATTCTTCCAATATTTGAACATCAAAAATGCGTTTTGTCTTAATATTGAAAGCTAATTCTTTCGGGGTAAGAATTCTAATTTCCTTTCCTACTTCAATTTTTTTTTTCTGCTAAAATTAACCCCTGTGTAAGTTTTTGTTTGGTTTTGAGTTACTGGTTGTCTTATCATTGTTTGCGTCTTCTTTGCATGTCTGATCATTTTTAATTAAATGCCAGGCACTGTGGTAGTGCTTTCCTGCCTTCTGGATGCACTTGCCTTTGGTAGCTCTGTTCTGAGATGTAGACGAGTCACTTGGAAACAGTCGCCTCTTTGCAGTTTTGCTTTTTAAACATTCTTTGGTAGCTTCATACATGTAAGCAATGCATTTAGATCATGTTCATCTTTCACTTGTTCCACTCCAACACCTCTCCAATCACACCGTCACTGTCCTAACTTCATGTCTTCTTTTTATGATCCTCTCTGTATGTTTGTGGATATAGGGTCATTCGCTGGATTATAAGCAGTTTATTGTCGGCTGTGAAGAAAAATCACTCCTCCTCCCCCCTCAGCTACAACTGACCCACAAGAACAGTTCCCTACCACTCCCTTTGGTCACAAAATATGGAGAAATGAAAATGGAAAAGACCTTCAAGTTTCCTTTACGCCGATTACCTTTGATAGAATGGAAAGGCCCTATGCAGGATGCAGGCTGCGTAGAGAGAAGAGTTATCAACAGTCTTAACCTGGCTGTGAACTTTACAAGCTAGGGAAATGACACATCTGGAAAGATATGAACTTGGTGCAATGGTGGCATCCACATTATGGAGGCAACCAAGAGCTTTCAAATGTAAGCCTACCCCACAGGATGTAACTCATGCCTGTAACAATAAGCCTGTCCAGGAAGCCATAGTCTATAGGGAGACCATGCTATTATTGTTTTGCTAAATGGATAGAGAATCAACTACCTCCTGAGTTCATCTCTCTCTGCACATAGATTAGTGCTTGTCTCATGCCTTATCAGAGGGACTTATTATTATTATTATTATTATTATTATTATTATTATTATTATTTGGCAGTGCATAGTGGTTAATACAGAGATTCAAAACTGGTCTAAGCACAGAGAATAAGTGACAGGGAAGTGTTGGTCACACCCTGTCTCTCCCAAGGGTCAAAAAAAACATCAAGGAAGAGTGAACAGAGAGATCGTAAGAGCCAAAGAGTGAGGGGAACTGCTGCAAGACTGCATCTTCTGGGCATGGCAGGGCTGCTGCATGCACAAGCTCATTGCAGCTCATTATGTTCCAGTTTTCCCTTTAAAAATGGTTGGAATAAATATGGGCCACGCTCAGCCTATAACTCTTCTCCGTGGTGTAAAGAGATTTTTCTGTGTACTCAAAACATTGTCCAAAGCAAATGATGTATGTGGCTGGTGGGAAGAGTCTTAGTTCCCCAGTCCTGGACTAGCTATCTATCAGATCTTCTTACTAGCCTTCTCCTGTGCATCTTTTTCCAGCCTCAAACAATCTCCTCACAAAGGAGCACCGGTCAGTACTCAGCTGAATACTTTGGGTGCTCGCTGAAGAGTTTCCGATTTTTCCCCTGCAAAGCTTTTCTTTTCTCTGTGTGCCCTGAACTGGGTGCCTCCTGTAAGCTGTTCAGGTCTTCCTGCAGTCTCTTAGTAAACCTGAAAGATCAGCTCTGTATCCTCGTGATTCACTTTCTCTAGGCGCCACCTGGGAGACGTATCCTTACGTTGAGGCTCCAAACAAGGTCGTGAGCTAATGGTACCCATACCACTTGGTTTTCACCTCCAAGGAATCGCTTTTCATTCTCTGACATTTAGCACTTCATGCACAACCGTCATGAAATTTTATAAATTATTTCATATATTTTTTGTTCACTTTTTAGTTGTTTCTCTTTTATTCCATGTTGGCCATAATAAACATCCCCTGAATGAAAACTTAAACTTTCTTATTATCTGTAGGGTTAGGGATTAAAAATTATTTAATTAACAGTTAAATTTATTTAGTAGTCTATAAATTAATGGTAGCAGTTTCTGCATTAGGACACATATTTCATCCGAATTAGCTTAAAGATAAGACCCATTTATTCCTAATGAAAACCAAACAGAAAAATATGCAATGTAATAAAATGTACTGTTATTTCACAATTTTAACCGGATCTTATTTTTTATTTCAGTAAACCCATCAGCAATTATAAAATCAGACAAATAATGATAACATTCTGATGCAATTTGAATGGTAAGGAACAGAAAGAACCAGGAGTGGGGAAGATTTTCTTGTCTCCATTGAGTTTTAAAAAGTCTATCAGAGCTACTTTCCAGTTTATCATCCTATGTATAACTGAATTTTCATGCAATATATTGTATAAATTGTTTTTAATTTCACCCATTCAATTAACAATAGTAAGACATTTTATGTACAAAATAACATATAAAATAGAACAATTTAATCAGTTTTTATATATCTTCTTCCCAATCACACCAAAATATGCAAACAATTGTTCTCATCCTTATTAGTTCTTAAGACCTAGACTACTTTAAGAAATTTCTCGGGGGCGGAGCCAAGATGGCGACTAGCACACACAGTTTCCGAGCTGTGGAAGAGATAAAGTTCTGAGTTGATGAGTGGAAGAACTTCTGAAGCCAGGGAAACAACGGAGAGACTTTCTAAACAGCAGGGAACATCGCAGGAGGTGAAAACCTTGGTCTCGGGTCACCCAGGGACTTGTTTGGGGAAGGTGAGAAACGATCCTTTGATCTCTCGGCACTCCCCTCCCCCAGACCTCCCTCCTCCTCGGCACAGCGGACTCGCCTTTCTCAGACTCGCCTTTCTCAGCGCAGACCTAACTGCCTGGGGCCTGCAGCCACTGAGGCAGAGCCCCCAAGCCCTTTATCAGCAAAGGCCAGCAGTACTGTGTCTTGGAGCCCCAGATTCGCGCGGCGGCTGCACCATCCTCCCAGGGCCCGAGTCTGCTAGATGCCATACTAGCTCCGCAGGAGCGCCATCACTGACGGTACGGCCCGCCCAATCCCACAGTGACAGAGAATATGCTATATACTCACCAAAACCAGACAGAAACGCCATACAAGCTAGACACACCAGGCGCTGGGCCTCCGAAGCTTGGAGAGCACAGTGAAGAGACCCCAGGACTTCCCAGAAAGCATCTGGACTAGCAACCCAGTCTCCAGTTACAGCGGGACTTTCTAACCTGGCGGCGGAGCAGCACTGAGCTGGCGGGGCACATCAGCCCTCCAGTTTAAGACTAACCAGGGTCAAACCAGAGAACAGAAAGGCTGGTTACCCCGATTCCCACTGACGTGACCACCCTGAAATCTCCAGCTGCAGCAAGACCTCATAACCTGGCAGTGACAACAGCACAGAACTGGCGGAGCACATCAAAGAAGCAGGGCCAAACCAGAGAGCAGAGAGCCCAGATACCGCGATCTCTGCCAAGTGACCTGCCTGTAAGTGAGTGAACCCTTGAGAATCTGCAGCTCCACTGATCCTGGGTTCTTCTAAAACAGAAGCCAGGCATCGAACCCCCTCCCACCCATATACCCACTTTGGGAAACAGAGGGGCACTTGGAACATTGAAGTTCCTGCTCTGTGGGTCTAATTGAGGAGTTAAGGCAGTTAATGCCAGAAATTGCGCTGCGATCATCACTAGCGCCTGCGACATATACATTGCAGAGCCCCTCCCACACACTCAAGGGTTCAACATTAGCCATCACTCTGTCCCTTGAGACACACGCCCACGCCCACTTACACACACACACACACACACACATATACACACGCACGCACGCTTGCATTTGCCTCTGTTTGCGCCTGCGTACTTTCCTCCCACAGGTACAGCTAGTCCTCAGCACACGCTAAGGACACGGGACCTCTCTCAACTTCCTGAAGAATTCTCCAGACTCGAGAGAGAGACAGTACCAGTCTGATTGGCAGAATCCAAAAACAAACAGGGAAGGTCTCAGATAAGCCAATGACCAGGGGTAGGCGAAAGAACACTTCCAACATAAATCAGGACATCATGACTTCACCAGCAAACCCCAAAATCGATGGATACTCCAATTCATCAGAAGCACAGGAAAATGACCTTAAAGCCATGCTTGCTCAATTATTTGAGGCTCATAAGGAGGAAATGAACAAATCTTTCAAAGAGTTGGCCAGTCAATTGGAGATAAAGAAAGAAGAAATAGACAAAACCCTTAAAGAAACACAGGCAAACATAGCCAAACAAATAGAGGCACAAGTAGAGAAAAAATTAGTGGCATACAAAAAGGAAATGAACAAAGAAATAGAGTCCATTGTAGAGAGACAGGAATCCAAATTCAAACACATGGAAGAAATGGTGCAAGGCATGAAAACAGAATTAGAATCAATAAAGAAAACACAAAATGAGAAAACTCTTGAGCTGGAGAACTTGGAGAAAAGATCAGGAACCACAAAAGTAAGCATCACCAACAGAATACAAGAGATGGAAGAGAGAATCTCTGGAGCTGAAGACACACTTGCAGAAATTGATACTTCTCTCAAAGAAAAAGTAAAATCAGAAAAATTCCAATCACAAAATATCCAAGAAATCAAGGATGCTATGAAAAGACAAAATCTAAGAATAATAGGAATTGATGAAAAAGAAGACTCCAGGCTCCAAGGTCCAGAAAATATTTTCAAGAAAATCATAGA